TTCGAAACCTGTAGTGTATTGTAAGCACGTCGAGCTTGAGAAATAAAGGCGGAACCTTGAAAGTCTATGGGATTATCGATTCTCGTCGTCGATAGGCGAACGTGTCGATCTTAATGTGTAGCACCGCCACTGTCGCTTCGGGATATGGCACGACGAGAGAGATCTGTCGTGGGGAGCGCAATAGGCTGTCAGATCGTGTTTGCATTACGTTTAGAGAAAGGAGCTACCAACTTCATATACATACCAACACACGAGGAAGGAAGACGTGGGATTGTTTCCGATAATGTTTTGGTAAAATTGCAATATACTTTGCTCAAAAAAGAAATGTTACTTCATTTAATCAGTTCATGCATACTCCATTCACACGAATCATTATTTAGCTTCGGTCTAATGAATTGAAATGAATCTAATAACGTGTTTCCAAAGATGGCTGTTGTATTAAAAAAGTACAGGTTTCTTATTGTTATTAAAAGTCTTTAATTGGTACTGTTACCGAACGTTAATTTTTTGTTAATATTTACTTATTTAACCCTTTGGTAATATTTTGAAGGTTTACCGTACAATGCAATTGCATAAATCGACTGAATATGTGTTCAGAACACCTGAAGTATTGTCACCTAATCATTTTAGAAATATAATAATAAATGCAATATTTATTTAGTAAAAGAAACAGCAAATCGATCTTCACACAAATATAAAAACTTGAAAATATCTACTTCTTAAAATTACGTCGTTTTTCAGTATTCGTATTTTATGAAAAGTATTGTGTTGGTAAAACTTGGTAAGCGTATCATGAGGGTACACGTTACTTTATTTTCTTTAATTCTCTTTTTTTATCTTATTCATTCAGAAAGAAGAAATGGAAAAGCAGTCTTTATCGCTACTATCAGTTACAATATCATGTTCAATTCAACCTTGTCTTAGGTATTATGGTCCATTCAGAAGGATAAGAAAGTATATTAAACATACTACAATTGGGATAAAACACTGTGATGAATAACATTATTAGAATCATGCTGTTATGGAATATTCACACGAATATGACAATCACTTTATCGTATTATTATGTTAAATAACAAAGGTGAATTTAAAAGAATGTGTATTTAACTGATTGTCTGGAATTTATTTCTTGAAAAAAACTATTTGCACATAGAAAATACAAATATTTTTTTAATGAATCCCTTCAGGTCATATTGAAATTATAAGCGTTCTCTCCAATCGTCGACATTCATTGTTTTAATGTACAACATGGATAATTAATGTTTTATTGACAGTCATGCATTTGAAACCTTTTTATATATGCATTCATTTACAATCAACGAATTTTGTGTTTGAGATGCACAAATTTTTATCTGAAATTGTAGTCTTATTTACATGAATCGAATAACTTGTCATTTCTAGAATATAATAAAATAAATAAATAAATGTCTTTATTGATGGTGAGGCTCTAGTAATTTAGCCTGCTCTTCCGTCTGACCATTTTCAAACAATTTTAATCCAATAACCTTATAACCTTCTAACATTTAACTAGTAGTTTCAGTTTTCTAAATTCAGTTTTCTAAACGCGATTCTACAGTTATGAAGTATATTCGTTTGGGGCTGATATAAATTATTAATCATCTTTCATTCAGGACGTGGAAAAAATTATAAGTATATAACAACTTCGTTTTACGCAATCTGGATTTCTTTTTCAATATATCTTGCCGGCAAAATGATTTTTTTGAGGTAATCCTCGGCAAAAAAAGAAAATTGCACGAGTAAAAACGAAATGACAATTAACCCAACTCCCGAAAAAGAAGGAAAAATTCGAAATAAGCACGTCATTCAATGTGCTCCCTGGTCTCTCGCCTGCGTCCCTGGTGCCTGCCCCGCCACAATCCCCGCCTCCACCCCTAGCGCCGCCCCGCTTCCGCCCCCGCCCTGCTCCCGTTTCCGCCCCCGCCAACATCTCTGAATTGGCCCCGCTGCGGCCCTCACCTCCGCACCCGCATCTGCTCTCCATCTCCGCCCTCGCAACCACCATTTTCCGTCCCGCCACCGCCTCCGACTCGTCCCCGCTACCATCCCTGTCTCCGCACCTCCACAACCTCCGCCCCCCGCCGCACCCTTGTCTCTGCCCCCGCCACCGCCCATTTTCCGCCTCCCCGCAAGTGCCCCGCCTCTGCTCCCGCCAGCGTCCCCGTCTCCGCCCCCCACCACTGCCCCCGCCTCTGCCCCGCCACCGTCCCGTCTCTGCCCGCCGGCGCCGCCCGTAGCGCGTAGCTCCGAGGGTTGGGGCCTAAACCGAAGGATATGGTTTCGCCGAAAATGGAAGCGAGAACGAAGCGCTCGAGACATTAAACGAATGCTGACCTCGTTTCTTTTTTTTTTTTTTCGGCGTAGCCGCTCCGGCTTTATTTTTAAATCTGACAGCGGAATTACTCGTCCTCGCCGCCCCCGCCCCCTGCCCTCGCGCCCTTTGCCCACTCGTGTGTGCCACACGGCGGTCGCGCGTCGTCGCGCGCCCGCGCCGCAGTGCTGCCAACTGACGACCTTTCGACGCGTGCGGTGCTCTTGGCATAAATGTTACAATTCAGCAAAAGTAGAGATGTTACAGTTCCTTACACTTGGGTGATCATCCGCGTGGGTCTTCCTCTATTTGAACAGGGGTTGAATACGTAAAGTCATTATAAGTCATTGCAATGTGATCGTTAAGCGAACCTCTGCGCTGCACGGGCGTCGAGCGCGAATGCGCGGAACCGAATTTTGCGGTGCATGACGGGGAATGTGGGTTTTTACCTAGTAATTAGGGCGTGGTTTCCTTCTGAGTACATCGCGTACGATTGAGAATTATTATATCATCAATCTATCATTCATCTCTCATTATTCATCAATTATTATTATCTTACTATCTCCGTACAGTGCAAAGGAATATACATCTCCTAACATCCTCATTGTACCATAAAAGGGGAGGAATTAACAGTAAGTCTCTTGAAAAATTGAAACCAGCCTGTCTTTTATATTTTTAAAAGCAATCTTAAAGATGAGGAGTCGAAAATATTTTTTCTGGCAGACAATTAGTTGTATAACTTTCTTTTTTCGCCTTTGAATACGATTTGTAACATGTTTCGGGGGTAGGTGAAGATCGGGGATAGATCTACTAAGTTTGCTTGATGATGGGGACAATCTATCCCCGAAACGTGTTGCATAACATGTTGAAACCCGAAGAAAGTTATGCGACAATCTGTCAGTAAAATTATTTGGGACTCCGCACCTTTAAGACTGTTTTTAAAGAATAAGCCCACTACATCGCCTACTCTAAAGTTCCTATAGCAATCATTTACACTCGGTCTCTCTGCATGTCTATCTACTTGTCTGTCAAATGTACATTCATTCGCAAAAACAATCATTCACGAACACACAATCATGCATGCACATACAATCATTCATACACATACAAACTAATAAACTTTTATACTTACACCAACATATTTACACACAAACCAATCACATTCACGTACATACACACACACACAATCGCTTACTTACACACAAACAATCACTCGCAAAATTTTATGTCCTTCGATCTCAGGCATATAATCTCACTTGAAAATTTCTGAGTCTTGTTGTTGCCAAAAGAGTTCAAAATTATTCTGCTCCAAAGCTCTTTTAGAAGTACTGATTTATTTCTGGAGATAAAAAAGTTTCCTAGATATTTGTATATTTCTTATGCTAATATCGTAAGAGCAGAATGCATTTGTGTATTTGGTTGTACGTTAACACAATAAACTAATTAAAATTGAATATTTATTTTGCAGTTTCCATTTGGTTTGATGTCTATTGTCGCAATGCGTAGATATTATTTACTTCATTAGAAAATTTGACACTAAATTAGATATCAAGAAAATGTGATTTGTTTCATTTCATGGCTTCTATATATAGCGCCTATAACCTGACATAATTTGAATAAATTTTATAATGATGCATTTTCGTCCGGGTAACACCGCGTCGAAGGCTGTGTTGTCGACGTTTCGACCATCCTGTCGTGGTCTTCCTCAGGGCCGGTATGCGCCGTGAATGTTTTGGTCGATTTGTAAAATTCCTCCCCGTAGAGGCGTGTTAAATAAAGTCGTAGGCTTCCGCGCCCAGGCCAGCCCTGAAGAAGACCACGATAAAACGGTCGAAACGTCGGCAACACAGCCTTCGACGCGTCGTCACCCTGAGAGCCAAAATCATTCACATGACACCGGCCGCGGAAGCTTACGACTTCAAGTAAGCGTTGTGTTGGAAGAAAATACACCAATCTTCATAGCACCAACTACATGACATTTTTTGACTTCAATTAAAACCCCCGGCACACCAACGTTGACACCGTAACCCGTGTACTGTCATTCTTGTTTCGAACAAGCCATCATTTGGCGGAAGCCAAAACTGGAAAGTTGGCAACCGTCGGGCGAGCGCTCTCCGCCCCCGCCCCGCCCTTTCGACGGCGCGAAACCCTCCGCCCGGCGCGGCGGCGAAGGGAGCATTAAATTTTCACGCAATCGCGAGCAAATTGTCGCGGTGCAGCGGGGGCGTTCGCGCGACCGGGAATCCTCCTCCGAGGGGGGTGTGTGGAGAGGGTAGGGACGGGAGAGATTGGGTGCGACGGGATGCAGAAGAGGACGGCACGATTCGAGGGAATGCTGAGAGGGAGGGGACGCGATAGAAGGGGAGAGGTGGTAGAAGCTGATAGAAAGAAGAGATGTGACAGAAAGGGAGTGGATGTGGAGTTAATGGCATAGGCGTTGAATGAGAATGGACCATGTATGGAGTGAGGAGGAAGAAAAAGGACTGTGTTGAAGAACAAGTGCAAAGTTATGAACGCTGAGTGGGGAGGAACGATAGAATGGGAGAGCTTGTATAAGCGGATAGAAAGAATACAGGTGATAGAAAGGAAAAACACGTAGGATGGAAAGTAGGCATAGACGTTGAATGCTGAAGGGCCATATATGGGTTGAGGAGGCAGACGAAGATGTTTCATGGATAAGGGCAAGGTGCCCGGAGGAAGAAGCAACGGAACGGGAGGCGAAATTAGGGTGATGAGAAAGAGATATGGCTTAAGAGGTTACGCCAATAGAACATGCGAGGAGGAGAGATGGAAGCGCTATAAAGCAGCAGTGAGTGAAGAAAAAGAGGGATGCAGAAAAAGTCTGTCAGCAAAAGAGGAGGCGATAGGGAAACGCTATCGGGGACCGCTATACAAAGCGTGCGACCACCGAGGAGGAGGGGGTTAAGAGTAGAGAGGGGAGATGGTCTGAGCGGAAGAGATGGTGGAAAACTGTGAACGGGAGTGGAAGTACAAGTGCCACGGAGAAGAAGGGGAATCCGTGAAGAAGGAGAAGAATCGACAGGGTGGGGCGCGATGAAAGCGGAAGAACCGGGTTAAGAGAATCGGATGGAAAGGGCGGGGACCTTCGACGCGGGGAGAATGGGGCCGAGCGGGGACGTGGATTTTCGGATCCGGTGCTGAACATTACTTCGCGCGCGATCTGGTCCACAACTTCTCCCTCGCGCCCGCCCTCTCGCCTTCCCGGGAGAATATTTAAGTTGCGAGCGCGAGCCCGCGTCGTCGCGCAATATTAATGCCGACGCCGTAAAATACCCACGCGGAGGAGGGGAAGACTGCGCTCGTGTCGCGGAGGAGGGGGTGGTGAGAGGGAGGGAAGAGACGATTGGCGGAGTGCAAGTGATGGTTGGGGGAGGGGGAAAAAGTGCGGGGTCTGTGGTTGGAGCGAAAGTTGTTCTTAGGGCGTACAAGAGGAGAGCGGGTAGGAGCGGAAAGGAAGAACAGAGATGTAATAGAAAGGGAGGGAATGAAGATGATGGAATGAGAGGTATGAGATATATTCAGAGCTTATTTGGTGTAGATCGGTGAGTCCCAGTCGATTTAACATGTTTTAAGTTTCAGATATCAGTAATTGTTTCTTCGATTATATTGATATTACAATTAATAGAATGTAGGTACTATTTCATTTGATCGGCTTGCAGCATCCTTCTATAGTATTAATTTAATTACTACACATTTCTCACAGAGCACTCACAACACAGAACCTGGTTTCCTTAACGTATTTCACTTATAACTCAAATATAACTCATTTTTTATTAAATATATATTCTATCGTTATTGAACGGAAAGACCTTAGATAAAACTGCAACATTCGTAAAGGAATATACTGGGTACACAACTATATTACACGCACGCCTCCAATATTACAGGAGTAACCAATGCTAATTGTTCCTTGCAAAATTTGGAAAGCGTTTGCTACAGTTATAAAAAGTTGAAACCATGAATCTGGTAAGTTCACTTTTTTTAATAAAAGAGTTAGAGATTCGTTTGTTAAAACATAGTCTCGTAATTCAAAGTGGGTCACGAGTATGATACAATGACAAATTTTCGAATTCTGTTTTCGTTCGTGAGTATACGAAAAATGAATGTATCGATATCCAACATGAAAGAACATAATCCATGTGATTATGATGCAATGAAGTATAACAAATCAAATTCGATATTCCCATGCATGTGTCATATTTGCGAATGCGTATTTTGCAAAACGAACTGCATCACGTTTCTTGTAATTTATTTTCTTCAAACTAGTTCCTCGCTTTATACTCTCGTTCTACTTCAATTTAATAAACAGAAATAGTTGATGGCAAAGTAACTTTAAGTAAATACATTTTGTGTTTAGTGTACGAACAAGAAAGATGAATTATTGCAACCTCTTCTCCAAACAGACATAAACTCTGTTCTCATTTATCACAAACCTAGAACTTGCAAATTATTGGTGGAAAATATGCAATGCAAAGAATAAAAATTTTTTTAAAGGCAATGGATACCGAAGTGTTTAACAGTGACTGCTTTGGAATACAAACGAAAGAGTCGTTTTGAAAATGAGTGTTTCTGATTATTCGTTGGAGTTTCATAGTAATTATTTCGAATCGCATATTACTTGGTGATTATAGCAGAAGTTATAACCCTTCAGAAGGCTCTAGAAGTTATTTCCTCCACCCGAAATATGCAATTACACTCGTTATCTTCCAGAACCGGCAACTGAAAAGGATAGTTACTCGAACAACACGACATCAGGCGTAACGGTACTGGCATACAAGAATGTTACAGTAGATGAAGGCGTTCAAGTGTATTGGGTGATAAAGAGTTCGTCAGGAAATTTGCTTGAAATGCGAAACATAAAGAGGATTCTGGTGTTTGTGGAGGTCCAGTTCATTCAACTGGCTAATAGATCTTTGGCTTATAGAGATTTAAGAGTGATTGACATTAGTTACTATGAAATTATTATTTTTTCGTAGAAGTCATCTTATTATTTCTTGCGTTGTAATATGAAGAATCATCTTCTCTTATTTAATTTATAATATTCATATAAACACTCCGATATTCCGATCTCTTTCCATAAATAGTGTGTTCTCAAATTAGTTTGGTCACAAACCTAAATAAAACTTCGGAAAAATTTATAAAGAGTTAAATGTACTAATATGAAAGTTATTTTAAGGAAATCTTGTTTAAAATCTTTACCACTATTTTATTTTGTTCATCGATCTACTCATATTACCGGTTTATAGCACAATTATTTACGGAGTTCAATTAAATTTATAAACTTTCAGAGTTAATATTATCAGAAATATTTGTATAAAAATAAATCATTGCGTGATGATCGTTAAATACGATATCATATTCAGAATAGAGTCTACAGAATATGACGATTTCATTATCTAACTTTACGTGAAATCGACATTGTAAACATTTCCATTTGTTTTCGTCGCATGCCGGAGTCTAAACATTACGTGTTTCTCTAGCAAGGCCTTTTGCAAATATTTACTTTCCGAAAGGTTACGCCACCTCATGTTTATATAAGGAAACTACGTAACATGAGTAGGATTCCCCTGGTAGTCTCTCTTTCTGGCTTCCCTTCCGCGCCCTCCTCTATGGACAAGTCAGACTAATTGTACACACACGAAGTCGCTGCCGCGAAGCAAACATTGAATATTAATGGCAGTACTCGTAATGCAGGCATAGCAATGGAGATCTGCAGGCACGCGCTCTGCGCAGCGGTTGGACTGAGAGCTGCGACCATTGCTGTTGGTCTAATCAAGACCACGTTGGGCTATCCATAGATCGTCATTGGACAAATAAACCCCTCGTTACACAAATTGTAGCAAAAAAATTGAAGTAAAACTTTGGAATTGTAAATTTAAAGAGATACATTAAAGTACTTTAAGTGACTTTAATCTACCATGAAGGTTTGTACGACACTCAAAACTTAAATGAAATTCCTTTCTAGCTAGCACAATAATTAAAACATAAAAAAGTATGAAAGTAACTATCTTAAAGAGGTAGGATTCATCCTGAATTTAAAAAAAAAATCCAATTTCTAAAGAGTGGATTTCTATAAAATTGGGTTGTTTGTCATTTTCATAAACTATTATATTAACAAGAGACCTCAACAATATGCACACATACGTCTTCTGAGGAAATATACTAAAACGAAATGATTTAAAAACAGTCAAATTGTGAAACAGGTGTGGCTGCGGTTACGTTTTTTAATATTCTGAAATATCTAAATAAATGACACATGCGCTCCGAAGTAAAAAAGGAAGTTCTAGTTCAAAACATGTTGTTGCTTAATGTGAATTACATGTATAGAAAGAAAGTACAGAGTATAAAAGTGAGGGGGAAAATACAAGTTTGGAACTATTTAAATTTGAAGAAAATAAAGAATTCATTTGGATTTAAAATATGAAAAAACTGCGAGAAATCCAATTTTCAGTCTCGAATCTTTCGCAAGATTAGAGAATTTGAAACTACCAATATCGTATGCTTCTCGTAAATTTAAGTATTATTACAAAACATTTATTTAATAAAATATTAAAAACTTAAAAATATTAACGTTTCTAATTTTTCTATTCTGGTTTTGTATATTTTGACTCAAAGTTGTTGAAAATCCATTCACTAAACTTTAGCATTCATCCTGACCTTCAAATTATATATTTTAACATGTTTTTTCTTAACCTCAACATCGTGAATTTAGTTTATCACGAATTACAAAGTGACACGCCTCACCTTGAAGTAACGTATACAATTCTGAAGATTACTTTAAGAAATACTATTTGTGTAAATAAGATTCAAGGTGTGAGACGCGTATAGAACCATCAGATAAACAGACAGCCTAGCGTTTTTTTTTCTTTACCAAGAAACTGGTCGTCTGTTGTAATGAATCACCCTGCAACCACCCCGTTGCACCCTGCGAATATCATTGCTTCTCTCCGCCTTTCTACTTGCCATGTAACATGACAGCGCGGCATGGCGGTAGTTGAATTTCAGGCAAGTGTTATAGATTCCCGCGGTGCCCGCCTCGTGTTTTCCTGTTTCGCTTTGCCCCAAGCACGCCGGGTATTTTTCAAACCTCAATTTTTCCCTCCTGTCACGCGGAGGGAAATAATATAAATATTTTAGTGAACGGCGGCTTCCGGCGAAAAGGGGGGAAAGCATAGAGGGTGAAGGAAACAACAACCTCTTCCCCAGCCTCGCGGTAATATATAGGCGGGGCTCCTCCCTCGCTTATAGCATGCCCTCGGACATCGGTATTGTTTCCTGCAACGATATGCTCGCTCCAGCCGCGAGGAACAGGGCGGGCGTTTTTTAAGGCAGAGCCTGGCTGTCCCGGATTGGGCCCACGCCTTGCGGTGAGGTCCACAGTCGCATTTCGACACTGCCTTTCGGATTTCCGTAACGACTCGCGTCCTTTGTCGCGGCGAGGGCGATGGGATTGGCTTGAGATTGGACCCGTGTTGCTTTCTAACAAAGTGACGGACCTGAAGCTCATGGGACGGCGTTTCCGTGTGTTGTAGAAGACCAGCAAATTCGGAGGACACGATTCTTTTCATTTTCGTGGAAAGTTCGCCGGAAAAGTCATGATGTTTTTGTTAAGGGAACAAAATTGAAATCTGCTTACTGTTATTGTTTCTTTATTGCTATCACGATTAAGAAGACAAGATTTTTAGCCGTACAAGAAGTATCTCGTTGCAAGAAAGAATACTCGAATGGATGTTACATTTCCCGTTTAGAATCGATTTCAACATAACTTCTCAGGGATGAAAAATGATTAAACCGTTTGTCACATTACACCATCTCTCCAGTAGTTAACGTATCTAAAAACGCCAACCATAACCACACCATATATCATCTAGAGAAGTAGTGTTCGATACTTTTCTCGTTGGGAACCCCTTTTACAAACTGAAATAAATTAGATAACCTCTTATATTCCGGCAGTGTCATTAGTAACAAATAAAATAATTCTGTAATAAGATTAGGTTATAAAAAAATCTGGTTTTTAATATCGCATAGTATTTTTCAGGAAAAGTTAGAAACATAATCCTAAAATATCTGCAGAGAAAAAAATAATTTAGATAACGTGCTCACTGTCAAAATCATACATTATAGTACACTGAAAATAAAATCTAATTGCCAATATCACCTGGTGATTAGCTAAACTAAAATCTTAAATCATGAAAAACCCTCGTTGGGATATTTATGCCTATTGGGTGAAAAAAAGAAAATTGATATTTAGATGGACGTCTGCAGGTGTTTGTGTTTGTGCATTTAACCTGTTTCCGTTTTTGCCACAATTCGTTTCAGATATGGGCTCTAAAGCTAAAAGGACGCCATTTTATTTTCCTTTTGTCTTATACACTCAATGTCTCCGAGTATCCCCAGGGCTGCATAGGAACAATTTTGGAAGAAATTGCTCTAAAACGAGGAGACTTTTTTTTAAACCGCGGTTTACAGTTTTATTGATTTTACTAGAGTTCGATACTCAAATGACCAGTTTTCCTTCAAGGTCGACAATTTATTATTGGTTTTAACAATAATTATTTGGATTAATAGGTTCACATTTCCCTTTACAGTTTTGCTGTAAACCAAGTTGGGTTTGTGTAATTGGCATTTCAAAAACTAGTGATTACCTAGTTTGAAGTAACTTCAATATTGTTAAATTTAATCTAATACTCGTAGAATAATAGTTTGCTGTTCTTGAGAAAATGAAAAGTGAACACATCAAAGATACTTTTTTGACTCTATTTTATTTGTTCAAAATACAATTTTTTCAAAAGTTACATAGGATAAACAATGTTACTATTGCCATGTCTTAATGTGTACAAAAACAGTGCAATTGCATGTTAGAAGGCCACCACGTTGATTAATTGCTGATTGAAACTGCCATATTTTGAAAATCCCTGGGTTTTAATAGTAACATCCGTTTTATTCCAAAATGTAAAATGTTTCTTGGAAGGTTTTTAGAAACCTGGGGTATTACTTGCCAGGCGAGTCCTTGTATCAATAAATCACATTCGCAAGAAATTGAAAATTGTTGTTTTTGAAACAAGCTCTCTCAAATGTGCATTTTCCATTGAGCTTGCAACTGTAAACTTCGCGGCCATTTTGGAATTTCTTCGCTAGTGGTTATCCCACCTAAGAAATTAACAAAAAACTAACTAGTACGGAAAGTCTGTGCAATTCTGTAGCCCCACTAGTTTGTATTTGTACTTAATTTATTGCAACCTATAGTTGCTCGTACGTATTGATATCATTACATTTACAGGAGTATTATAACTATTTATTTTTACTTTTTTGCCACACTACTTACATAATAATAAGAAAGTAATGTAATGCTGCGAGAAAAAGGCAGCGATACCGAAAAATCAATTGAAGGCAAAGTGATAATAAATAGTATTCCAGTGTCTCATTTAAAAATACGAAACTGCCTATTAGTATATAACAATATGTTTTGCGCTTACTGCGACAACTATGGTTGTAGGTACTAAGGTAATTGACGTCTTAACTCTTCTGACATAATGTCTAATGCTGTCTCCGGGGAAACACACGTGGCTAAGTAGGCAACATGTAATCATGTCTGTGCATGTCCTGCGACTTTTCGTCGCAGGACAAAAAAGAATATGCGACATGCACGGAGAGGATTTTGTTATCGAGAAGGTATGATGAGTGATGTTTCCCTTGAGGAATTCTGTAATGGACTTAATTGATCAACTGACAATGAACATTAAAAATAATGAACAACTTCTCTGTCACCGACTTTCACTCTCGTGAAAATATTCAAAATAGAGATAAGGTCGAGTAAATTATTGCAAATTCATATTGTTATTCATTCAAAAGAGGAATATAAATTTCATAACTTCCTGGATATGCAATCCCTCATGGCCACTGATTCAATATAAGATGTAAATTCAAATTTATTTGAAAGTCACGTAAAAGAAAATACTTCCCCTCAAGAGACTTTGAGACATTTTAATTGACCCAACACAAGCTTATTTTTCGGAATTTCTTTACCAGTGTACCTTTTAAAGACATTTCAAGCATTATCACTCTTGTCTATTTAGAATAAACATCGAACATATTACTTTTATTCAAACTTCATTTTGGTTTTTTGAATATTTTACGCAACTAACATGAAATTTTGCTGTAAATTTTTATTCTAGCTTGGATAGTACTCAATTACAAAAATATATTATAAACATCTAAAAAATATCTCCCTTTATAATTGACAGGTTCCAGATGTCCAGTCGGGGAATCACGCAAGACTATTTTCTGGGTACATCCTACGCAGAGTGAAAAAGTATCTGGCAGACCTTCCAAGTCTTCGTCCTCAATTACCACCTCACGTGCAGACAAAACAGTGTCTTTTTCTGCGAACATATCTGAATCAGATATCTGTCATATTTGCAAAAATCCATGCAAAACATGCCTTGTGCCCAAAGACACTGGTGTGGTATCTAAAGCTTCTGCTGAAAATACTGGAGGCAATAAGATCAATCAGACCGCGTATGTTAGAGGTAGTGATTCAGATGCATCGTGCTCCAAACAATGCCCTAAGGGAATATTGCTAAAGAAGTCTGAGTCATTTATCTGTAATATTTGCAAAAATGCATGTAAAGCATGCCTAATATCCAAAGATTCTGGTGAAATATCAAAAGCTCTTGCTAGAAATACTGGAAGCAATAAGGTCACTTCCACTACAAAAGTTAGTTATTCAAACATATCTTGTCCCAAACAATGTCCTAACATACCTTTCTCTCCCAAGGAAAGATCGAAAAGTGCTGCTGATATTCGAAAAGCTGGTAGTAATCTCAGTTTTTCCAGTGATCGTAGAGAGGCATCTAAACCACAATCAAAAAGTATTCAAATCGAAAAAAACCTACCTTTACGAAGTAAAGAGAGTAATTCCAACAGAAGTGTCATTAAAAGTGATTATGGATACTTCAGTGAATTTCATAAGAATTGTTTTCCACCGGACGTAAGTGCAACTTCTTTGCAGAAAAGTAAGTCTGCGAAGAAACCCGGAGATGTTAGTCATGTGAGTGATCGGAGTAGACCTCTCTCTGAAAGAGGACAAGCAGGTGGTTATAGTAACACGAGAGATCGAAACAGACCAACTTCTGGAAGAGGACAAGTAAGTGGTTATAGTAACACGAGGGATCGAATCAGTCCAACCCCTGGAAGAGGACAAGTAAGTGGTTATAGTGACAACAGAGATCGGAACAGACCAACTTCTGGAAGAGGAAAAGCAAAACATTTAGGTAATGCAAGTGATCGAAAGATACCAGTTTCTGGAAGTGCAAGAAGCAAAATATATTCTGGGAGAAATGGTATTCGAACCAAAATCAATGACATAAGTGACAGCGACTTTGACCACTTTAGTGACTATCACAAGAAATGTTTACCATCCGACTTTTCAAATACTAACGTACGGAAGTTTGATCAAACGTCTGACTCGAGAAAAAACCCAATATCTTCGGAAAAAGGAGGATTTCGTAAAGGTAAAAGTAAAACATATAACATTGCAAGCTCTTGGAAAAATCATGGTTTTAAGTCTCAAGTAAGTAAGGGGAAAGTAGATTTTCTATCCAAAGAAAAGAAAAAGGAACAAGAGGAACGAAAATGGATTCTGCAAAAAAATGAAAGGAAACCGATTGAATCAAAAAAATATAAAAAAGAATTGGATATAAAAAGCGACCAGATAAAGAAAGGGGCAACTATTGAGCGTGATGGCAATGACATTATAGTAAGCATTCGAATAAGCATGAAATCTGATAGACATAATGCTGCTGGCAGCAGCACCGACGTCTGTATACCTATTGGATCTTCTGCTAGAAGCAAAGGGAGCAATCCATTAGTGTATCCTGTGAGATCGACAAGCATTAAAAAGTCAAAAACCAATAATGAAAATGCTTCTAATGATAAGGGAAAGACCACGGAACCCTTTAGCAAGAATTTATCTAGAAAAAGTTTGAAGAAAAAGGCAGGTACACAAAACTTAGCTGAACCGGTAGAGAAAGATAAGCTTGCATCTCTCAGTTCCTTGGGAAAAAGACCCCTAAAAGGACAAAAGCGTGCCTTAAAGGATAATTCGCAAACAAGTTCCTTAGGCGAAGGAGGGCGTAGCTCCAGGAAACCTTCGACGACAAAATCAAAAGACGAAGGAAAGCACATCTCAGAGAAGTCTGGACCAAAATTATCTGTAACGGAGAAGAAGCGTGGGCCAAGATCACAAGACGAAGAAAACAGGTCTGCAATTAGTTCACAGGGCAAAAAATCCTTGAGCGACAGTCACTCGAGTGCCTTGAGAATAGATTCTGTGGCCAAAGAAAAACGTGAACATAAGATCACTCCTGAAAAATCTCAGTCTGCAGAAAACGCATATTCCATTAATTCATCGGGTGAAAAATTCTTCAGAAAAGGATCGACGGACACGTTGGAACATAGATCTTTGGTCAGTGGAAAAACTGATTCTGACAGCACTGTTGGAAAACAACAGGGCGAAGAAACCCGGACGTTTGATAGTTTACAGAGAGGAAAATCTACTAGAGAAGACAAACCTGACGTCCGAATTTCTGACGATACAGATTCAGTTGATAAGAAAACGCAGAAAAGCAAGGATTCTCGTGAAATAAAACCATTAAATAAAAATGCATCAAGCCCGCATGACAGTGAGGAAAGCATATTCACCTTGGAAGAACCTCAGAAAGAAGAGAAGAAACACGACAAGAAAATCGAAAAAGAGAGTAGAGCAAGGTTAATTAATGCGCGTGACTTGGAAGATCCGAAAAACAAAAATACCAAGGAAGAAGAAGGAGAGCAAGAGGAGGGCAGTAAAGCTGCTAAAAGAGGATTTTTCGACTTCATGTTGAAATGCTTTCGAAAAGAAAAGGTTCGAAAGATGAAAACAAATAAAGTCACTATAAGAATGTGCAAATGCAATGCATCTTGCATTGTGTTTGTTCAAGAGATATATATTTCTTTTGAACAAAAATACTTTTCGATCAATGTACACAAAAGTATCCTATATAAAATATTTTCTCTTCTTAAGAAAAAATACTTTCCGTAAAATGTTCTTACATATGGAGATTTTCAATTTGTTAGAAGATTTGAAGAAAATAGACTAGTTTTGCCATTTTTAATACATTTGCGTTTCGAGTATATGTCAGATCATAATCATGCTCTTTTATATCTTTGAATTTCAATAAAAATAAATATAATATTCAAACTGATTTATTCTTTGAAATCTCTTAACCTACTTACTTTTGCAAATTAAAAGTAAAACGATAGGTCTAACGTTTTCAAATATTAGAAAATATTTTTATTATTATATACTTTATCTGTGCATGTTTGCAGAGTAAAAATGACCGCCCGAAGAAATCAATAAAGGAAAAAGGTGCGTTAAAAAGAAACGATTCCGAGTTGCGACATGATTCGAAGAAGGAACGTGGTTCCAAAATGGAAAGTGATTTCCAAGAGGGACGTTTTTCCAAGCAGGGGCACCTTTCTGAAAAGGGAGGTGATTCCGAGGTGCGACGTGGATCCAAGCAGGTGCGTGATTCCGAGGAGGAAAGTGATTCCAAGGAAGAACGTGATTTCAAGAAGGAGCGTGATTCCAAACAGGGACGTGATCCCAAGGAGGGGCGTGCTTATAAGGAAGGACGTGACTCCAAGGAGATTCGTGATTCCAAGGAGGGAGGTAATTCCAAGGAGGGACGTAATTCCAAGGAGGGACGTGATTCCAAGGAGGGACGTGATTCCAAGGAGAAGCGTGATCCCAAGGAAGGGGGTGATTCCAAGAGGGTACGTGATTCCAAGGGGGTACGTGATTCCAAGGGGGTATGCTATTCTAAGGAGGGACGCGATTCCAAGGAGGGACGCGATTCCAAGGAGGGACGTGATTCCAAGGAGACGCGTGATTCCAAGCAGGGACACGATTCCAAGGAGGGACGCGATTCTAAGGATACGCGTGATTCCAAGAAGGAGCGTGATTCCAAGGAGCAACGTGATTCTAAGAAGGAAGGTGATTTCAAGGGAAGACTGGATTCCAAAGATAGGCATGATTCCAAGACAGGAAGACTTTCCAAGAAAGATTCCAAAAAGGGTAGACCCAGCGAAAGTGACGATACTGGAAGCGGCACCGACGAAGACAATCCTATATCGAGTGAAAGTTCTCGTTCCATTTTCAGTAACAGACAATCCACGAGAAAATCGAAAACAATTGAGGCGAGATCTAGTCGTGAAACTAGTAGCAGTGTCACTTCGAAAGAAGAGAAAACGAAAAAAGTAAAAAAGGGACCTGAAGCCTCAAAGAGCGAAGAAAAACATAAAAATAAAAATACGAAAAAGAAAAGAAAGAAAAACGGTGACAAGAAAGCTCACAAGATGGCTCTCTTAGAAATTGCCAGGACCTGGGGATCCGTGCAATGTCACAACAGACGCCTCTTGTGCAGACTCGGGCAATGTAATCCTACTCCCTGCTGTGGTACGTTCTCCATTCATGGTTAAAATCAATATGTTTATTGTATCTTGAGTACTGTGTACACACAATTTGTTGTATTTTTACGTTTTTGAAGTAATATATTGTTTTTTAAAAATATTCGCTATGTTATTCAACTGAAAATGTTCAAAATATTAAACCCTTGCCACAGTTCAAAAACTGAGAATATTGTAACACAACCTTGCAAAAAATAATAATTTATTATTATATAATGTTACTTTAATACTGAATGTATTATTTTTTACTGATAAATTAACTTGTTATTGCCTTTGGTATGGAGCTCGATATACACTGCATAACTTGCCTGGCTCAAAAGGATCGTGATTATGAAGGAAATATGAAAACAGATGAATGGCACTAAATGTTCTCTTTGGAGGAAAGCATGAAAGACAATTAAAGGAGGGAAAATGAAAAGACAAACAGACATGTTAATCAAGCCGAGCTATTAGTAACTAAGTAAATCTGAATCAATAAAATTAGATAAGAAATAAAAATTATGTATGTACACCGGGCGTTAACTGGTTCTAATGATCTCGGGCGACGAAAAGCTCTCGGGCATTTTGTTGCCCGAGTTGATCGATCATTAGAATCCTTATAACGTCCTTGGTGAGTAAATTACTAGTTTTACTTCATATTGCTACTTCCTCTGGAGCCTGTCGTTGACACACCCCTGGGTACCGGAGCGGGATTGGTAAACGGTGAATGTTTTAATTTTGGAGGACTTCATACGAAGCTCCTGTTATATCTTCAACATTTTAGCTGGCCAGTTTTCTTTCTCGAATACACACGTATATACGAAGTAATACATTTATTTTAGACAAAGGTAATTCTGCGGAAAATTGATTTCGAGATTTCAAAGGAAATACACGTTTTGAGGTTCCCTGAGAAAGACAAAGTGGATTTTTTCATTACGTCCATCCGTCTGATAGTTCGTCCGTCTGTTCGTTAGGGATCAACACTAGCGCCCACGCAATTTGTAAGATACTTTACAAAATGAATATTTCCCGGTAAATCTGACCCCAACCCGAAGTTCTGCGCTGTAAAAAAATGCCTTTATTTATTGAGAGTACTTTATATTAAGCTCCGGCAACATGATTTAAATTTTCTTTACAATGATTCCAACTTTTTGCTTTAATTTTATTGTAAAGAGAATGAAAACACTTATGAGGATGTCATTGGTCCGATTTCCACGCAGGATCTGATATTTCGGAAACTACATACATTTGATTTTTTCGGCGTCATCCGACAACTACAAAATTGAAGATGGAGATTTCTTGTTCAAATAAAATTTGTTCTCCAGAATTAGTTACTTTATTAACTTCGTGCAGTACATTTTTCTGCAAATTATAGTAGTTTTCGCGCAATTTTCAGTGAAATAAATGCAGTATTTTCAGTAAAAAAAACACGCGAATGTCAAAAATGACTCAATTTAAAAAAATGGTTTTAGAGATAGTGGTAATTGATCTGTAAAAGATGACATAAACGCCATTTTTCTGTATTTTTCTTATTTTTAGCAAAAATATACACTAAGGAATTTTTTCACATCTCTCACGTGCTTAGTATTTACTTTACCGGCGATTCGCTTACATTATGGCATTTGTGAGAATTAGTGCAACAAATATAATAATATATAACAATAAATAATTATTATTACTATACTACTTTTAGTTCACTTAACGTATCCAATCTGTACCACAATACGGTATAACTGGTTGGGGTGGTATTGCTCTAATATATCTAAACCATAGCAATTGCAATAAATCCGCATTATCAAACTTTGCTTACGTAAACAAATAGATAACTCCACCACAATTAGAGTGTAAAATGTATATAAATTTCATGAATAATATAATTTACGAATTATGTGTTCCATTCATAAGAATGTAACCAATTTTGAAAGAGTAAGTCATGAACACTGTAAAAGTCGAAATAGCTGCATCATTTTACATAAATGAAATGCAACACCACTTTCTATTGTAAACATTTCATGAGTTGTGGCCCTAGTCTATATAACTCCGTAGTTGCACGTATATCTGAAGTTAATATATTAAACAACAAGGAATTCAAGTAGAATATTAAAAGATACACAATCAGGCATGCAAACAATTATATTTCTTCATTCTTTCTTTATATCTTTATTTAAATTTGTAAAATCATAACATAGCTTGCGCTAGTTTTCTTTTGTGTGTAAATACACGTTTTGTATACTTTTCTGTATGTACTATGATTAAGATTCTGTTTTGTAAAAGTGCTACTAGTTCATAAATTATATGAACTATGTCGTTTTTGTTTTCGTTGTACGATCACTTAAACTGCACCCAAGCACAAGTATTTGCTCATTCGGTTCATCAGGTGTAGGTCATTAATTATATGGTAGTGAATAAAAATTATTGTTATTATTATTATTATTATTATTATTATTAAAGTCATGTCTTACAAAGTTGTGAAAAGGTTTGTGTGAAAATGAGCTGGAAATTCCGCACTCTCAGAAACGCTTCAACGCCATTATCTCAGAAACACTGAACTGACTGGATACTACGACATAAATGCACTTTGATGTCACATTATATTTTCTTTTTGTTCAAAAATTAAAAAAATTAATGAAATGTCTGTCATGCCTATAATTACGTTTCAGCCATAAATTACACATTATCGCATTTGTGAGTATAAATGAAAGTTATTTGTAAAGTCAAAAACTATCAGTGGTCATTTTTAATTACATTAAAAACTCGCTCGTAAGTAGATCTAAGTTTAAACTTACCAACGATATCGGATACCACGAAACATGAATAGATGACGAGTGCGTAACGGTTAATAACTCCAAAGTGACTTTGATTAATCGTCCATCAACCATCCGAAATCTGTCGACCGTTATCTGTGCCTTCATCCACCGGTTGAATTGTCAGCCTCAACCACAGAAAGTTGTGCACAGAATGTTCATGTCGAAGTGACAATCAGAACTGTAACGTAAAAATCTTTAGTGTCCACTTATTCAATCAATATATGTATATATTACTTTGCAATAAACATCCAATAATTACCGGAGACTTTTGATCAACAATTCAGTGTAAATCCATTGCCATTATTAACAATTTTCCTCACGACAAATTCAGCAAGTTTCTTAACATCAACTATCATGTATCGTTGAGGGAAGTAACATTAGTTCTAAAAGAATCAGACCCCTTGATTCTCGCTAATAAGTTCTGAGGAGGAAATCGTTGGAGCATTGACACCTAGTTAGCCACAGTTAACATTGCTCAGAAGGGAAAATGGTGTACCAGCGGATAATCCACTTTTAACTTTCTCGCACTTCCGAAGAAGAGAAGATTTATGCAATTGTGTCCCGGAAAACGGCGAGTTTTCGAATTGCCGGGCCCTGCTATAGAAAAAGG